TTTGTTCAAATGAATGACCTTGACCAACTTTCAAGGTCACAGGTGTCAAATGTCTTAAAATCTTCAAACAACTTCTTCTCAATAACCAAAAGGCCCAGGGTACTGATATTTAGCCTGTAGCAATCAGGGCTACCAAATTTGTTCAAATGAATGACCTTGACCCACTTTCAACCTAATGTCATTGTTTGACATTCAAGGTCACACTGATATTCTGCCTGTAGCTGTATTTTAGTCCACTTTTAAGTTTACAAGTGTGAGATTAATACCAGGTGAGCGATGCAGGCCCATTGGGCCTCTTGTTGTATTTCTTCTGTGTAAACCATGATATAATAGGCTGCTATTATTTGTCACTGTAAAGTAAAAACATAATATAATGCCCTTCATTAATATTTCTATACAGTGAAACCTTGATATTATAAATGCCCCTTGTTTATGTACAGTTAAACATCTATATCATGTCCTTGTTTCCTTTACCTTTTTGGTTTACCTAGTATTATGTAAGGTTCCCTGTTTGCATCTAAACCATTCCTTTAAAACATCTCTCTTGGTGAAAATGATAAAACCCCTTTATAAAGCCAATATTTTGCTGATTGCATTATAATGATTTACAATTACACAAATTCCTTACAGAAGTTGAATAATTTTTTCATAGAATCTGACAAATTTTTTTTCAAATGAAGCAAACATTACTGTACATAAAGTCACATTTAGATATCTGATTTTAAATTTTATTTACACAGTAACAGTGTGACAGTTTCAGGATTGGGTAGGGTTTATTGTGGTGAGACGGTTGATTTTCTTTTTTGTTGTTGATATTTTTCAATTCCCAGGATCCAAATTTACAGTGCTTAAAAATATGCTAAGTCAGATTTTCAAATCTACATTTTCCTCACTCAGTCTAAAATGAAGGTACACGTAGCTAGGTTTAGGATTATTTGTGGTGAAGATGTTTTTGAATTTTTGTTTTGTTTGTTTATGTTTAACGGCCCATCGACGGCTGTGGTCATTTAGGGCCAGTTTTTGAATTCCACAACGTTTTGAATTTGAATTTTGATAATCAAGACCATATCATTGATATATAGGTTTCTTCAATACATTAATATGCTGATTTAAAACTTGATAATGAGGATCCTGGAATGATGAATATGTTTATTTTCTAACAAAGTGTGTTTTTATCAAATTTAGTTGTAAGGATATATGCTACATAACTCTATCATCTCTTTCACATGATAGCTCTGCACTTATAATAAATTGAAAAATAAAATTTATGAATAAAAATGTTGACATAAATAATAAATTGATGACTTTTTTGAAAGAGACTTCTTAGTTATAAATGAAAAAGGGGGATAACTCCAACACAAATTATAATAATGGGTACAGTAGCATATATTCTTCAATATATAATGGCTATTGATATTTTGTGTTTTGCTTATCATTAACGATTTATAAAACTTGGTGGTGTTTTCAGCTAAAAACTTACGAAAACCGTGTGAAGGCTTTACAAGATGATTTGTTTGCTGCCCAAGATGAGATTCAAACAATGCAGGAAACACATGAAAAGGTGGGATAACTCTGCCAAAACATTCAAACATCAGCTGTCTTCGAGTGGGATAACACGCCGGCATAGCATTGCACTTTAACTCATTCACCCCCGAAGACACATTTGAACTCTTCCAATTCAAAAGTTGGAATAGTTCATTATGAAATTTCAGGAGTGAATGAGTTAACTTCACAAAGTCAAACGACAGCAGTGTTGGGGATTTAGATGTGTACAATGATGCTGGTAGAGGATAGCAGAGCTAGCTAATGCTGTGTCAGAGTGGCAATAAAATGATGGGCTGAACATTTCGCATATCTATTTATACAGAGCAAAAATAAAACCTCTGCCAAATATAAATACCTTGACACAATAAATTTGAATTGAAATTATATTCTTATCATTCGCTTGTACAATTACCACAGTTTTAATAATTCCTTCCTTTATGTTTTCAATTTTGGGCTATCCACATTCTTATACTGTCAACCAACCTTAATTAGTCATTGGGATTTGAATTAATGAAAGTGAGGAGTATACAGAGAATTTTCCAATAATGGGGTGAGACAGAAAATCTCATAGGGATAAGATTCTAAATAAGCAAGCATGAGGCTTCATCTTATACACTGATAATACTGATATTTTTTTCGCACCCCTAAAATGGAATTGTTTCAGTGAAAAGAATGCTTTCTTTTGTAATTGCCCCAGCTGTAGTATGATGCCATTTGATTATTGAAAGTGACATCATTCTTTGCTTTTGTTGTGACATAAAAAATAGGGTTTAATGTTCAATAAATCGGCAGTGGGGTTAATTTTTTGTTTGTCTCTGTTCAAAGACATTTTTAAATTCAAAATTGAACTGTCCCCCAATTACATCCTGGGAAGACTTATTGAAAGTAACATATGACTCAGCGAGATTAATTAATGACTTACTGAAAGTAATAACTGACTAACTGAAAGTAATAACTGACTTACTAAAAGTAATAACTGACTTACTGAAAGTTATACCTGACTTACTGAAAGTTATAACTGACTTACTGAAAGTAATAACTGACTTAATGAAAGTAATAACTGACTTACAGAAAGTAATAACTGACTTACTGAAAGTAACAACTGACTTACTGAAAGTAATAACTGACTTACTCAAAGTAATAACTGACTTACTCAAGGTAATAACTGACTTACTCAAAGTAATAACTGACTTTCTGAAAGTAATAACTGTCTTAACTGAAAGTAATAACTGACTTACTGAAAGTAATAACTGACATACTGAAAGTAATAACTGACTTACTGAAAGTAATAACTGACTTACTCAAAGTAATAACTTACATACTGAAAGTAATAACTGACTAATCGAAAGTAATAACTGACTAACTGAAATTAATAACTGACTTACTTAAAGTAATAACTGACTAACTGAAAGCAATAACTGACTTACTGAAAGTAATAACTGAGTTACTGAAAGTAATACCTGACTAACTGAAAGTAATAACTGATTTACTGAAAGTAATAACTGACTGACTGAAAGTAATAACTGACTAACTGAAATTAATAACTGACTTACTTAAAGTAATAACTGACTAACTGAAAGTAATAAATGACTTACTGAAAGTAATAACTGACCTACTGAAAGTAATAACTGACTTACTCAAAGGAATAACTGACATACTGAAAGTAATAAATGACTTACTGAAAGTAATAACTGACATACTGAAAGTAATAACTGACTAATCGAAAGTAATAACTGACTAACTGAAAGCAATAACTGACTTACTGAAAGTAATAAGTGACTTACTGAAAGTAATAACAGACTTACTCAAAGTAATAACTGACATACTGAAAGTAATAACTGACTAATCGAAAGTAATAACTGACTAACTGAAATTAATAACTGACTTACTTAAAGTAATAACTGACTAACTGAAAGCAATAACTGACTTACTGAAAGTAATAAGTGACTTACTGAAAGTAATAACAGACTTACTCAAAGTAATAACTGACATACTGAAAGTAATAAATGACTTACTGAAAGTAATAACTGACCTACTGAAAGTAATAACTGACTTACTCAAAGTAATAGCTGACTTACTGAAAGTAATAACTGACATACTGAAAGTAATAAATGACTTACTGAAAGTAATAACTGACCTACTGAAAGTAATAACTGACTTACTAAAAGTAATAACTGACTTACTGAAAGTGATAACTGACTTACTCAAAGTAATAACTGAGTAACTGAAAGTAATAACTGACTTACTTTCAGTAAGTCAGTTATTACTGAAAGTAATAACTGACTTACTGAAAGTTATAATTGACTTACTGAAAGTAATAATTAACTTACTGAAATCACTGTAATCATGTGGCAAATGAACAAGCTTGTTATATTTCATTAGGAACTACTGAAGGTCAAGGCCACATCTATTGACCTTCAGGAGAGAATGCAGGCAGAGAAAGGTCGCAGTTTGCAGGCTGAGGTCAACAGTGCTAATCAAAGGATTGATGCCCAAAAGAACGAGGTCAGTCTTCTAAACAAATGTCCCATCATTCCCATAAATCATATTGGCATGTACCCCAGGTATCCCATAGAAGCCATTGTTCCCTTCAAACGGTAGAGGTCAAGGTTACAACTAGTACATGTATTCGTATTCCGGCTTTGCGTATTGCAGAGTTATCTGCTCTTGTGAGCAAGTATTGATTATTACGTCATTTGTTTGTGAGAGTAACGTCATCAATTTTTGAGAAAACAACGTAATTTATCAATACCTGTTCACAAGAGAAGATAACTCTGCAATAGGCAAAGACGAAATAGATATACTGATCATCTAGCTGATGTAGGAGTACAGTGTTGTTGGGTTAAGTTAGACTGTTAGACATAAATGTGACGTAACTAGCCACTGACCCAGACTATTATTGAGCTGTTAGCCCAAAGTTTTGTAGCTTGCTGACCCTCTCAAGGAATACAGTGAGTTCCTCTTAATGTCCAGTTTTATCGAAAATTAGATGCACAAACAAATCAAATGCGCACATAAATAAAAGAAATTGTTTGGTTTCAGAATCTCGAGCGACAATTAGAAACATTAAAAATTCGCCTGGCCGAGTCTAACAACATATTGGAGCTTACAACACGTGATAAAAGTGCAAAAGAACATGAGATTAAGGTGCTTAACGAATCTGTAAAACAGAACGAGATAGATGGAAGAACTGTTAATACCCTTAAGAAGGAACTGACCACTGCCCAGCGAGAGCTTGAACATTTACACCTGTCCACTAAGTACAGTGAGGATGAACGGCAACGACACATGGATAAAATCCACTCATTGGAGGATTTCTCTAAACAGTTGGAACTGGACAATAGGGAGATAGCCAGTAAGGTAAGTCATTAGACCAGTAGGTGTGTATGACAAGACATACAAGTAAATAGCCAGTAAGGTAAGTAATTAGACCAATAGGTGTGTATGTCAAGACATGCAAGTAAATAGCCAGTAAGGTAAGTAATTAGACCAATAGTTATGTATGTCAAGACATACAAGTAAATAGCCAGTAAGGTAAGTAATTAGACCGATAGGTGTGTATGTCAAGACATACAAGTTAATAGTCACCTGAAAATAAGTCAAATGAAATCATTTAAAATATTTTAAACAAATGTTTAATATTTTACCATCTCATAGGTATTTCATAGGTATGACATCAGTGGAAAGCCTAAGGCTTGTAATGATATTATTTATCAGCATTTCATTAAATGATTCCTTTTTAGCTCACCTGGTCCGAAGGACCAAGGTGAGCTTATGCCAGACCGTTGCGTCCGTCGTCCGTCCGTCCGTCCGTCCGTACGTCAACAATTTCTTGAAACGACTTCTTCTTCTTAACCACTGATTGGAATTCAACTAAATTTGGCTGGTAGCATCCCTAGGTGGTGGGGATTCAAAATTGTACAAATGGTTGGGCTGACCCCCCAGGGGGCTGAGGGGCGGGGCCAAAAGGAGTCAATTTGGCTATATTGCTTTAAGCGACTTCTTCTGTAGAACTATGCCATGGATATCAACCAGTTTTGACTGGTAGCATCCCTAGGTGGTGGGGATTCAAAATTGTACAAATGGTTGGGCTGACCCCCCAGGGGGCTGAGGGGCGGGGCCAAAAGGAGTCAATTTGGCTATATTGCTTTAAGCGACTTCTTCTCTGGAGCTAAGAAGTCGATGTCGACCATATTTAACTGGAAGCATCCCTAGGTGTCAGGGATTCAAAATTGTACAAATGATGGAGCTGACCCCCCAGGGGGCTGAGAGGCGGGGCCAAAAAGGGGGCAATTTGGCTATATTGCTATAAACGACCTCTACTGTAGATCTATGCCATGGATATTGATCATATTTGGTCGGAAGCATTCATGGGAGGCAGGGATTCAAAATTGTACAAATGGTGGGGCTGACCCTCCGGGCTAAGGGGTGGAGCCAATAAAAGTGTATTACTTGGAAATGGTTGAGATCCCCACCATATAACCATGGTATACAATTGCTAAGTATAAAGAGAAGAATGCACATTTGCTTCTAGGATGGCTATAGGGTCTGGCCCCACCCTTGGAGACATAGTCCTTGGGCCATAACTTTAAAACTGTTGAGATCCCCACCCCAAAACTATATATATAAATGCTGGGCATAAAAAGACGAATGCAGTCATGATATCAGAATAGACCCTGGGGTCTGACCGAACCCCTAGGGACCTAGTTTGTTAGTCACAGCTTGGAAACAGTTGAGAGCCCCACCCTATAACGGTATATACAATTGCTGAGTATAAAGAGATGATTGCACATATGCTTCCAGGATGGCCTTGGGGACTGCCCCACCCTTGGAGACTTAACCCCTGGGTCATAACTTCGAAATGGTTTAGATCCCCACCCCAAAACTATATATACAATTGTTGGGCATAAAAAGACGAATGCAGTCATGATATTAGAATTGACCCCAGGGTCTGCCCCATCCTTGCAGACTTAACCCCTGGGTCATAACTTTGAAATGGTTGAGATCCCCACCCCAAAACTATATATACAAATGCTGGGCAAAAAGAGACAAATGCAGTCACGATATTATAATTGATCCTGGGGTCTGGCCACAACCCTTGGGACCTAGTTTCTGAGTCAAAGCTTGGAAACAGTTGAGATCCCCACCCCATAACCATACATAAAATTGCTGGGCATGAAGAATATAATACAGATATGCTACAAGGATTGGCCTTGGGGTCTGGCATATTCCCTTGATCTTATTTGGAGAATATTTTGCCATGATTGCTTTGGTATCCAGGTGAGCGATACAGGCCCTCTGGGCCTCTTGTTTTATTTAAACATATTTTTATTTGCATCTATTACACACATGGGATTGGGCACAAATTGTCCACCTTATATATAGAGCCTTTTCCCAAATGGTTGATGGTAGAGTGCACAAAGAATGGTATCTTACATTAAATTAAATCAGGACATCTCGACTAGTGAAGTCTAATAGTCACATAAGTATATATATACATAGTAAATTAAAAGGACGGATAAAACTTGTGTGCATGATCGAATCTGTCCAGTGTATGTTTTGCCTAATTCTTAAAACTATTTAAACTATCAATGTTAACCACTTCAGCTGATAAATTATTCCTGGTGGTGTTTAAGCGGCATTGCTTCTTAAAGATGTTGAAATACTGAATGTGTAATAATGTTACTTTGTGCTTTCAGTTATCAGAATCAGTCTCAAAAATGCAGACCATGGAGGATCAGCTGAAGAGAGACAAACAACGCAATTCAGGTACCTTATCATGTGTATAACATTTCTGTGTTAGGAGACACGTGTATCAACCTTAATTTGTGTTCTTATATATCACTATGAAAAGATAAAGGATACTTAAGGACCATTTTCGTTTATCGCGATCCAAACGGTTGAACCTGTTGGACAAGAGTTGTTTGTTGATGAAATATGGTCGGGCCTAGCTAGTTATATTACACTTAAAACAGACAAATTGGTTGACATATTTGTGAATTCAGTTTAAGGTATTACATGATTAAGTCGACTGAAATACATATTTCCTTTTAGCATTTGAGATACTAGGTCTCCGCAGTTATACTATATTTAAATATAACATTTAATGGAAAAAAGTCAAAATTGGCACAAAATATATGTCACATGCACATCATTTAATTATCCAACAAAACCACAGGCACTGGAAAAACTGAGCTTTATGTATCAGTGTCACTTGTAACTGTACAAAAATGTGTTCATAATGACTGATGTAAAATGTGATGACTGAATTGTGGAAGATAGGAAATGACTAATTAGTCCATGTTGTTTTGTTGGTATAGACAAGCAGTACCAGAGTAGTGTACATGTAACACAGGTAGAAAAGGACCTAGAGGGCAGCACCAAACAAAACCGACAACTCCGCGACGAACTCCAGAAAAAACAGACCTACGTGATGAGACTTGAGGCAGATGCCATAGGCAATGCAGTAAGACAATTTGTTGACATTCGGAGTAGAAGAACTCAATTTTTAAATCTATTTTTAATCATCTGAATTTGTAAAAGTGTAAACATATTTTTTGTCTTTCGATGATAATTTAAAATCCTGGATATGGTGTATTCCATTAAAAAAATGATAATTATAGAAATAGTTAAGAATGAGAAATTACATTCAAGTTTTGAAAATAACTTTGTTTAAAAACATGTTAACTTACAAGGTTGGATATGGTTATATTATTATTCCAAATCTTGATTTAAAAATAACTGTAGTATTGATGAAACATGGCGTTTGTGAGATAGATACCTTAACTGAAAATATTTTTTTCTAGGCAAAGTATGAGAGTACGATAGCGAGGCTTGAGTCGGAGCTGGGAGACATGAAGAATTATCACAAGAAGGAGGTAGAGAGTACCCAGGACAGACTAGACGCTGCCAACAGAGAGCTGGGTCATCTACGGGAACAACTCAGGGAAAAGGAACAGGTCAGAGTTACATCCCCAGAAAAAACAGAATATTTTTAACTAACTTTCGAAATATTATTGTGACACATTTCAGATTTTTGTTACCATGGTATGTTATTACCAGGAAATATTCATCCTTCAAAAAAACCCAAGGAATATTTGTCAATATTGACCCTTCACAAAGGAAATACCTTGAATAGTATTCTGCATACTATTTCCCCATGTTTTTAGCTGACCTGCAATAATGAGCTGTTATTTCTCACATTTGTATTAAACTGGGTGAGCAATTCAGGCACATTGGGCCTCTTGTTAGATCATTACTGCGTTAGATCATTACTGAGCATAATTTATTCTGCTCTTTGTATTTTGTATGCTATAATTTAAGTCCTGTTTGAAATTTAACAGTTTAAATAAAAGAACCTCATATGATTCCATCTTCTATGTGAAAAAGGCTTATTGTCAATTTCTGCAGAATAGTGAAAGCTATCTGAAGTTATACTTTGCTGTTTGAGGTGATCAAGGAAAACTGACCATTTGAAATAAATATGTATATAATGTGTGCAGTGATGATGTACATAAGGAGAGGTTGTAGGTAGAGGAATAACCAAGGTTTTCCTGCAACTCTGCCTGCATTTATAAACATATTGGTAATCTGCCCAATAAGTAATATATTCCTAATATTTAATAGACAACCAAATTAGTCCTTATTTCATCCACAGGAGGCCAGTACCAATTTGCAGGAAGTGAGTCGTTCCAAAGGCGCAACAGATCGCCTTGAGGCCCAGCTCCAGACAGAGATCAAGATACGCACCGACATGGAAAATCGCAACACTGCCCTTGACCAGGAGGTTAGCAAGGTAAGGTCAAGGTCATTTGACTGATTTATCAAGGTCGTTTTACCATTTTGGAAGTTAGATTATATCAGCTTTGGTATGGTGAATCAGAGAAGATTTGCATGTGGCTACACTACTTTTTTTAACCTGTGGTTTATATTGGGATTTTTTTTTTGTATGAGCGTGTGATTTTTGTTTTCATTTTTTAAAGTGTTTATGATATAGTGCATAACATCAGGATGAAGTTTATAAAAGTAAGATAGGTTAAGGCAAGGGAGGATACTCTTGGTATTTCAATTAACAAAATTAAAAATATTTCCACAATATATATATGTATAGATGTCCTTAGATAAAGGTGGCCATACATCATCAGTATATATACTGTAGGGCTATACAATCGGTTGCCCCTGTTTTTTGCTACACCTGAAATCGTTGTATAATTAAAAAAGAAGAACAAAGAATCATGGACAATATATGTTTTTCTGAGACAAGAATAAGAATTATGAGTGTAGTATATATACGTAGCTAATATGTTTACAATCAAAACTCATTACTGCAGCCATTATGAATCCAGTTCTCCCTCTAGACAGCCAGTATTTTTAAGGGACAGGTAAACCTTTTCCATTACAAAGTTACTCCAATAATCATTTGTAATTCCTTATATTTACTTTGGGTGGGACCTAGATGGCTGGAATACTGATGATGAGCTGTACACGAATTTCTAAATCTCAAAAATTACAGTTTTGATATAAACCTGTCTAATATTGAACCTATCCGGGAATTAATTAGCAGGTGTCAGTCATCACTGCACTTGTTGACCTCTAGAAAGTACCAAGGTGATAAGAATGATGTCATGGCAGCCTAATCTATAGACAATATACCCGCACCGTCTGTTAGGAATATTGCATGAACATGAAACCAACACTTCTCCCAAATAATTCTTAACAAGCATATCATCTTTAGGAGCACCTTGTTCCCAATATGCTCACCCCATCGACATGTATCTGCTCTGTCTATTACCAGTTAGTTTTTAGTTGCAGGAACTTATCCTGAACATTTTGGAAAAACAGATGGCATATTGGAGAGACTAATCTTCTTCCTTTCAATTTTTTAAAGAATATGGAAAAAACTTCTGCTCTTTTAGAAGCAAATGATGTTTAACAACCACACCTCACCCGTCTGTGATATCAGTCGAGCTGAGGCTACTAGATCAAAACTAAAATTTGAAAGAAGTACATGTACACTAAATAAAAAAATCGCAGTTAAAATAAAAAAATAAAAATAAAAATCTGAAATAGACTTACAGAAATTGTGATTCACAAAACTAAACCCCTGCGAGTAAGTTCCGTGCATAAAATTGTGAATTTTAACAACTATACAGCAAATGTTCGTTTCCTACTAAGCATTTACTGATGATGTTTTTTAGTTTGTCTGTTCATCATAATAGGAAGAATCAGTAAAATCAAACAGTTAAATTAAATACTCCTTCGGAACGACTACTGATAGTTTAATTGGGCCCAACCTTCATGTTTCTAATACTCAAACACCTAGATAACAAGTTCCCTGGTATCTTCTTTTCTTTATTTATCTTTATGATAAATTAATCTCTACATCCATCATGAATTAACATACTTGCCAACTCTCCCTATTTAAGGAGGGAGACTCCTAATTTTGAACCCAAAAATTGAGTATTTTTAACCAGTTAATTTGCTTAACTATTCCTGTTTTCTAAGACCTGATGATTTCATCTGAAAGAACAGCTCAGAAGATGCTATTTAAAAGTGTTATTTTTTCTTAAGGGTGAACTTACACAAATTTTATTTATGCGTTTAATTTGGAGTACTGGTTATCTCCCCCATTGAAATTTCAAAATGTTGGCAAGTATGAATAAGGTTTAGTTCAGCTAAAAATCTCGCTAGAATTCTCAATTTCTTTCTTCTATTTTATCTTTCTAGATAGAAAATATTTTGGTTGCAAAAATAATGCATATGTTATTTTTGTTTTTTTGTTTTTTTTTGTTTTTTGTAGGCCTTTGTAAATTACTTGCATACATGGACTTTATATAATTTATTTTGTTCCATCTTTGTTTCGTGGAATGTTTTTTGGGCTAATTTCCCCATAATCATTTAACATGATTTAACATTAGCCATGCCCCATTTTACTCATCTTGCAGAGTCATTCAAGAAAACTCTTGATAATGTGTTTGATTTGATTTAGAAAATCTTTTCTGTTTAATGCCAATTAGAAAATTGACCAGACTTTATTTTCCTTGTTCTGATGGATGTTTTAAACATCACATGCAAATATTATAATTTACTAGGAGCAAATATTTTTTTCAGATATGAGATTTATGTAAGGAGGCACGGTAGTCTAGTGGTAGGATGCCGGGCTCGCGACCGAAGGGTTGTGGGTTCGAGTCACGTCACAGCACTGTGTTGTATCTTTGAGCAAGATACTTTACTCCGCTTGTTCCAGTCTACTCAGCTGTAAAAGAGTATGTGGTTGGGCAGTGCTAGAATTGTTGAATGCTAGCTGTGAGCGCCGAAATGATAGCTCCAGCTGTATGCTCCCGAGGGAGTTGTGAAATATATTGGCTGGTTGCAAAGGCCCTATAATCACGGATAATAATTTGTGAACTGCTTTGAGACGACCTACAAACTAGATTGTGATAGAGCGTTATGTAACAACCTCAAATTATTATAATTAGATATCAATTATTGATATTATTTTTGTTTCTGTTTTCCTTGTATGACTCTGTGTCTTTAGTAAATTGTGGTATTATGGCTTGTAAAATTCTGTTCAATGATTTGGCCTTATTACAATAAAGCCATTCCTGGCGAAATGTTGGATACATGTTAACTGCCCTCTGTTGAGCCTACTCCGGTGTTACTACTAAATCCCCTTATCTATTTTATGACCGAGGTAATCTGTGATCTAAAACATGGTATTACCATTCTAATTAGATAAATAATTATTATTTCATTTTTTTTTCAAATCAATCTTATCTGTTGGAATTATGTTTTTATTATTTTCATAAAGAATGAAATTACCACAAAAATCTTTTATTTGTGTTTGAAAAATATACTTTTGAGTTATAGTGAAAATATTCCTGACCAAGAGTAATCCATTGTTAAGTAAATTCAATAAAAATGCATTTTTGATGAATGTGATAAGGTAAAAGGATTGTCTTGTAAATTGATATATATGTTCTAGTTAATAATGATATTTTGAATATATTAATTTTATCTGGATAATGTCAATGTTATCTCTAATGGCAAGGCCCTGTCGACTGTACAGTCTAGGTCTGAAGCATTTGAAAGTGTCTAGTTTAATGTTAATAAATTTCAAATCATGAGCATTTGGATCTAAGGCATTTAAAATCACGATGATAATTCATAACCTTGTCAGTAACTATACCTGTAAGTAAAAGAAAAATATGACAGGAACCCATACATTAGCTGACATTTATCTCTAAGATTATTGAAGCTAGTTTTAGTGCCTCAATAAGTAGTTCGTCTTGAAACATCATAATTAATAAAGGCTTCAATTTCTTGAGCGAGACTGTGAATTACACCCTGACAAATTATGAACAAAAAAATGTTAGGAGCATTACAAATTCATCAATATAAAATATTTGATGAAATTTTAATATGTATTATACAAATATTCATGCTGTGCCTTTATGAAAAATATTCATAAATGCATGCATTTTTTTCACATAATCTAAAATGTTCAAAAAACCTTGCTTAGTATAATTTTTACATATTTTTTTACTAAAATCAAAAATATATAAACGATTTATTTTGAAATTAATGAATATATGGAAAGTCTTTTCTTTATTCCAAGTTTGAAGTGAATATCATAATGAACATTTTATTGTAAAAGCAAAATTCTGAAAAAAAATGATAAAGCCAGTTTATTTTTGTTGTTGTTGTTGTTGTTGAGAACTTGGGGCTGTATCTCATATTAAACTAACCATGCACCTGTTGTTACCCATCGTTGATTGATCATCATAACTTACATGTGTGTATTCATAATTTATGACTTATTGACCCTTTCATTTCCAGATCCTGAGATCTAGGAATGTATGTACCATACCACCATTTTGAGTTTATTTTGTCTGTAACTGTCTGGATATGGACCATTGTAGTCATTTCATCCCTTCTGTTATTCTTCGTTAAGGACCAGTTAATGAATTGCCTAATTTCTAAAACCAGGATGATGTTTGCAAGGCGAAATTGTGGTTTTTGGAATATTCAGCAATTCTTGTCTGTTTTGTTGTTCTTCCTTGATCATGATATATTTTCTGTAAGATATTCTTTCTTTCTCTGTCTAAAGAAACGTGTTATAAGCCTTCATCTAAAATAGCTAGTAACTATAGTCCTCCCTTAATCAATTAAAAACGGTTTGAAAATTCAACCCCTGTTAAGAAGGGAAGTAACTCCTACTGTTTGAAGAATTACCCATCCCCCATAAATTGGGAAAAGGATAATCATAGAACGAGAAAACAATGAATTGCTGAATATGGAAAAAGCACAAACAATCTTGTCAAAATTATAATTACAGATTCTCTCTAAATGTATTCTAGTTCTTTCTGTTGTCAAACTCTTTACTTTTTGATTTGTTGTAGCTTTTCTTCATTGTGTCACTCTTTGCTTCACTGTCATTCTGTATGTTGTTGCCCTCTCAGCCCAACTGTAGTAACATATACATCAGCATGTCAGGCCTAGCTTTAATGGTCACTGTCAACTATCAACACCAGGAAACAAAGCCATCCTTCACCTTTATCATTATCATAACTAGGTCACTGCCAAATATCAACACCAGGAAACAAAGCCATGCTTCACCTTTATCATTATCATAACTAGGTCACTGTAAACTATCAACACCAGGAAACAAAGCGATCCTTCACCTTTATCATTATCATAACTAGGTCACTGTAAACTATCAACACCAGGAAACAAAGCCATCATTCACCTTTATCATTATCATAACTAGGTCACTGTCAACTATCAACACCAGGAAACAAAGCCATCCTTCACCTTTATCATTATCATAACTATGGCGCTGCATGTTTTAAGGCACTTTACAGTCAATCACTTCATTTTCATGAGAAATGCACTTTTTGTGTCGTTCAGTCAGGACAGATATTAATTGCTTAAGTAAACATCCTGAAGATATGGGTTCTGACTAATTCAAACAGAGTCATTGTTTTTGGCAATGGAGTTTGGTTAATTTTGTAAATTCATCCATATATATGAATACATTGTTGAAAATAACAAACATAAAAAATGAATATCTACTGAATTGAAGTAATGGTGCAATGTATTTGTTATGTTGATATAGTTCTTTGCTTTGAAACGGGTATCTAAAACTTGTTGTTCTGTTACTCAAAGCAAAACCTGGTTTTCTCACTCTACAAGTTTTGTCTCAATCACCAAGACCTTATAAGCAGTAGTAAGTGATGGTAAGCTCATGGAGAGCCTCACCATTCTTGTACTGTCGACAGAGCCTCACCGTTCTTGTACTGTCGACAGAGCCTCACCGTTCTTGTACTGTCGACAGGGACTTTGGAGTTCCAATGATTTACCATCAGTTCCTGACCACCAGTAACATTTTACAATCTAATTGTCTTAAATATGTATATTGGCGGATTGGTCAAGTGGTTAACACTTCGGCCTTCCACGCAGGCGACTGGGGTTCGATCCCCGATGTCGTCGCACGCATGGAATATCAGAGAAAGTGTTTTTCTCCTGCCCACACAAAACCAACAATCCAGATGGAGTATAAAATAGTCTGGGGTGGATGTTGCGGTATCTGTGATGCAGCATTCAAGTGAGGTGGCACTATAATATATGCCGTTGGAAGCACGGTCCCACTGCAACTAGAACAAAATAAATCTCCAGCACACACACAGGCATACACAAACAGGGAGATATTAGCCAGGTGGCATATGACTAGTAGTTAGCGCCTGATAAGGCAGCTCCTGCAAATTCCTCAAAAATTGTATATTCTAATCGTATTAATTGTATATCTATGTACTGTAAAGCGCTTTAGAGTGGCTTATGTTAGCTAGCTAGAGCACTATATCAAATGTTGTATATTAGTATTATATTATTATATGCATGCATGATGACTTATCGCATTAGTTTATATCAAATATGCGATATGTCTAAAAAATGTTGAGCAGGTCATCACCCATGTGCCCCTAGGTAGCCTGTTGTGGTTCAGGTTATGTGTGTAATACTCATTTCAGCCCCATTTCATTCACTTTATTTCATTTCATGTCATTTAGTTTGTCAAAACATCAATATCATTGATCATTCAACTTAATCATATATACTACGTATTATAGCTTTCAAAGAATGCTTCTCTTGAATGTTTTCTCTCAAGTTACTTAATTAATTTTCTTTTCCTATTTCTCATTTTTATGTCACATATTCAAGCTATAACATCTCTCCTTTTACTAAAGTTTACATGGAAGTACAGAAGAATAAAGCTGATGGGTGCTTTTAAAAGTTGATCCATTATGAAAATCTAAGGTCACAGCTGCGTACACTTAAATCCAAATATGCACAAACCTGTCCTTTACATTTTGGTCTATACAGAGTGATAACTCCATATCAGTACTTAGGTACCTCGGTAAATGTTTACTGGTAAAAAATGATATCATTGTCAGGCACATCTTTAACTATTTCATGATCAGAAAAGCAGAGTATAAGTGCATATTGTATGTGAACATTTCAAAAAGGGCATATCTCCAGTCTTCAGTAGAAATTAATTGACTTCATTAAAGTTGTTTAAAAGAAATAATATGAAAAGGAATTTCGGAAAGGAATAGTTACATTTATTTTTTAATAGGATGCTGGGTTATAATCTTACCATTTTGTACTTGATATTTTACTACTTTACATATAATGACAAAACTTTCACTCAGGTCATCACGGAACATAATAGTTCAAGCAAATAATCACACCACAGTTGCTACTGTTTTATCATGGAGTATTGTTTATAACAGTATGTGAATTTAAGGACACAGAAATCTCTTAGTTTTAATAGAAATATCCTATTCTGAATTTAAAAAAAAATGTACTGCTTCAAAAAATATTGATGAAACTATACAGTAATTACCAATAGTTTTTTTTAATGATTCATTCAAAACTGATCTATACCAAAATTTAACATTAAGTTAATAATTTAGTTTGTGTGTGTTTTTTCTTTTTTTTTTATCTAAAAATTAACTTTAACATTTTATTTGTGGAGTTTTTATTTTCTGATTATACTAAATAAATTGTTTTCAAATAATAATATTTAATGCTTGGTTTCTGCGCTTGACATATATATCTGAACTTTCTATTCCAAGGACAGAGTGCTATTAGGGGCATCTATTCTAACTTTGGATTGTTATGTGTACACCACAAGGTGCCAGTATCAAGCTTTCAAGCTCAGAAGTGATTTTTGGAAACAATTGTCCTATATCAGTAAATACAAAAATAATGTTTTATGCCTAATTTTCAAGATCCCTTTATAGTTTGGCAAATAAAAAGTATTCCACTTAATATTACAGCTATTTAACAAATATTTATTATTATTTTCTAAAATATCAATTTGAAATATTCCTTTTATTTTCTTTCTGGATATTTCCTGACATTTCATTATTAAGTAACATTTTTTCTAATTGTGCAATTAAAATCTGTTAACATTGAGTATACATTGACAGAAATGTGACATTAAGTGGTGTAAAATTAAGGGGAATCCAATATGCTGCCAAGAATGTAAAGAAGCATTATTTGAGGTGTGTTTGTATGATATTCAAAGATATGTTTTAAGTGTGGCGATGGATTTGTTTAGTAGTTTTGTAGATTTTAGTGATATCGGACGAAGTGTGAAAGACTGGTATAATTACTAGATCATCAGAGCAAAGATCATTATTTCAATCTCAAAAATATAATAAAAGCTATTAGCATGGAATTTGAAATATGTAATGCTTTAAATCGTTTTAATATATTTTTATTTTAAATTAAATTTTCACCCCCACCCCCCAATTCATACTAAATCAGATTCAAGTGTCTCATGAAAGTTTTACACCTTTGGAAAGAATGCTAAGGAAACAACTTTATGATTGTATACCTCTTGTTGAAGATAACATGTACACTGAAGGCTGATGTAAGGTCATCTAAGTCCTGATGTACGTAACTGATAAATGAATCAAATCAATTATATAAAAGATTTAATTCAATTCAATATTAAAATAGTTCATTGATAATACAGCTGAACAGATACTAAGAAACATTAAACAATACCTGTATTTCTAAAGGATGGGAAAACAAGCTAAGCCAACATCAGTCTTTTACTTAATATAAATGATAGATAAAAAGTAAAATTATTGATATGGATAAAAAATTGCCTCTGGTTTTCAGATGAACGATTACAAAATTAGATACATATAATTTATAAAATGTCATGATAAAGTTTGATGTACTTAATTAAATTACGTATTAAATTTATGATTTAATTTTTATGTTTTGTTAATTTAACAAAATGGGATTCATTGTTTTGTAAAAGAAACACACATCTCATTTCTAATGGTGATACACAGAATATGTCATAGATACAAATTTGTGAGATTTATAACCATAGACATTAGCTTCTAGGCACTAGTTTGTTAAATTTTGTTTGATTTTAGTTCAGTCATTCCAAAATGTTTTATTCATGTAATTATGATCAATTATTTTTACTCTCATACAACAAACATATTTTATAAATGTATTGTCATTTTCTCATGCATTTAGAAACACTTCATGTAGTTTCTGTATATCCTATTGATGTGCTGATTGAAGGAAAAACTATCCATTGATTAACTTTATTCCAGGTATGGACTCAGGTGAGAACACTTATGGAAAAGAACGCATCCCTGGAATCTAGCAAACGAAGCCTTGAAGATGAACTGGAGCGGGTAAGATATAAATATTTTTTTAAGATTTTAGTGACTTGGCCTAAAAAGCTATAAAATATTATAAGTAGACCTTCTGATGGAACGTCATGTGTTATATATCATAGGATCCTGAATTATCAAATATCTATGGGGAGGAGGGATCCATTTTTAATTTTTTTTATATATTTCTTTTCTGTTTTTATTTATTTATTTTTGTTGCTGTTTATAATGTATATACTATTTGAATGTAAATAAGCTTTGATAAGCAATTTCTAGTCCTCTAGTCTGACATTTAGTGTTTAGAAAATGGTGATCTTTTGACAGGGGTGACTAATGTATTGTGCTGCTTTCTTGTTATTATGTGTTTTTAATTTTATTTTATTTCTAATTTTGCAGAAAAGGTCAACGACTCGTCAATCGGAGACATCTTTTGCTCATTCCACAGCCTCTCAGGAAGTCGCCATGAAATCGTTGAGCTCACGAGCAGACCTAGCAGAGAAGCGGGTAGGTTATATAATAATTTTGCAGGAATATCAGTTTTATCAGTTTTGTTCATGATAGAGAATAAGTTTTGTTCTATAAATGTATACTTAATGACTATTCAAAAGGAATAAAATAAAATGGTAGCTATTCTCTAAAATTTGCTTTAATGATTTGTCCCTTAACAAAAATGTTTTTGCAAGAAACGTACACAAAATTTAATTGCTTTGAATCTTATGCATTCTATTAGTCCCTGGTAGCTTATTTATAGATTTAATAATATGCCTTATGCTCAAATTACGAACAAATGGTTTGCTGAAATAACTTACCTCATTCTATTCACACTACTCTGGTCCTGATTTCTCAAAAACAATCAGCAGGCTTATTTTTCCCCAAAATAGGTCTTCTTCAACGTCATTGTTCTTTTATTTATGCATAATACTTTTAAAAACAAATACATGTTTAATCATATTTATGAAAGAAATTTTGTATCAACAATATTTCATACTTAAAAATGATTTTTTTTGTAATTGTTTTTTTTGTAAAATTAAGTTTTAAATGGGCTATCTGCAGACATACAAATCTGTGTTTGATAATTGAAGTTTTTTTGTGTGTATCACAAAATATTTTTGAGGGAAACATTGGCTTTTAGAAAACTTATCTGTCTAAACATTGGCTTCAAGAAAGCTTACCTTCCCAAAATTGTTTTTAATGAGAAATCAGTGCCTTATACCAACTGTCTAACCCACCCGTCTGTGTATTAAAGGTGTTTGTTCCAAGGGCTCAGATTTTCGTTGATAAAGTAAGTAGGTAGCGGATGTTGAAATGTAGATATCTTTCAGTATATTGTGTAGATGAAAAATATGTTTATTCTTTGGAAACAAATAAGGGTATTGCATATTTAACTGATCCCTGTTTGCCACAGCTGTCAATCATTACAGAAAAAGTTACCAAATCAAGAATGAAAATGATTCGCTTTTTAGTGAAATTCTTTTTATATGCGTTCTTTATAAATCCTAAAATATTTTAGAGGCTAATTGGAAATGAGGAGGCAAAATAAAAATGAAAAATAAAATTTGATATATATTTTTTTTTTATTGATTTTTGACTGGGGAACAATTTATTATGTTACTGTAATTTCAATGCATGCACAGATTCTAGTTGTTCTAAATTTTAATCGCTTAATAAAAATGTAGCCGATTAAAAAAAACTTTTGAGAAAAACATTCATATAAATTGGCATTTTTGTGTGTTTTATCTGAGGGCGATCATTTTAAATCCACAAACTTATATATGTTTTCTTTTGTTTTAATGAATATAAAAATATCACCAATTCTGACTTTTTTAGTTAATTTGTCATCACATAAGTAAAATGATACAAAAAATCCAGACTACAAGAAAGGGATCTATAATTAATTATACTATATATATATATATTTTTTTTAATTCAACCATTTGAAAAAAATGTATAAGAATTCAAATACAGTGTACCTAATACATGTTTTACAGTTAGCAGGGGACAACATACATTGCCAATATCTGTTCCACAAAATACTTTATATCAATTTCGTATATCGAACGGGTAAATCATTGATACAAATTAACATATATGACATTAATGGATTTGTTTATTTTTCCTCTAATCTCTTAAATAAATTTTAAATGAAATTAGCACGTACACATTTATATCTTCAAAATATGTAGCTATATCGTAGTTATTATTGATGTGGTGTTCAGAGACCGAGCGTAGATTAAATGTGTGAATAGGAGCCACCTATAAGCTCAAACATCTTTATATTTTAATTAATGTATTATATACTCTGATTAAAATACTCGAATTTTCAATTAATTCACTCTTTACTCAAATTAATGAACTCTTCTTTGATATTAATACATTTAATTCTGTAGTCCTTTGAACTCTGTAGGATTTTTCTCGTAAATCTTTTTATTTTCATGTCTAATTAATGCTAGATGTGTTTCTTCCCTATTTACTTTTCTCAGAAACACCTGGCTTTTAGTATTTCACTCAAATCCTTTGTCAAAATTTGATTTTAGTGAATGAAATATATTCAAATGACTTTCACAATTTTTATTTCATTTTACTGTACAATGTACTTGTAAAATCATTTTGAAAAATATCAATCGAAATATGAAATATTCATCTTTTTTCCACTGTTAAGAAACCAGACCTATTATTCTTGTACACTATATATAATTTTTGACATCATTATCAGAATTAATAGGTAATGTTTTTTCAACTGTATTTCTTATAAACTCTGTGTGTTATTATTACGACATGGGAAGTGTAGCAAAAAGAGCTCAAATTTGGAAAAGTTGCTGGGATATTTTATTTACAATCCTGAAAATAAATAATGATAGTAGTAATTTGGATAAGAGGTACAGTAGTAGCTATTATCAATTAGTTTTTATTTCTAGTGATATGGAAATTTAAGCCCTTTATAATTATAATCTGGGTAATTGATCCATAAACTTGTATTTCACTTTTATAAGTACATTACATGTAAGTTTATGTAAAATAGATTGATATTTCACTTCCATAATTTCATAAAACACAAAATTATTTAATCAACATCAAGCAACATTGAAAATAAAAGAATGTGTAATACTTATATATATTTTTCAAAATGACTGGTCACAATTGCTGTCTTTGTTTACTATTAAACACGCTAGACAGGAGATGGTCAAGTACCCGAAGTAAGTGAATGCACATACAAATATACCAACTACTTGCAAATTTGATTAAGGGCCAAACCAAATAATAAAAGAGATTTTATGCTTCATGTTTATAATCTATAATGTACAGATAACTATCAGCATTACACATTGCTCCTCTTTCTAACAGGTATCTTTTATTACAGATTTCAATTACATTGTATGTTATTTTTGTTATAATTATTTTTTTAAGAATTTATCAATGTTGAAAATTATTTTAAAAATCACCTGAAGGTTAATTTAAGCTAAATAAGTAAATCTCATTCTAATAACATTAGGATTTTAATTGATTGAGTTCTCTTTTCGTTTTTTATGTCACCATAAGATACCTGTTGGCAAGGGAGGTAATTCAGTGTGGAGTTGTATACCAATTATACATGTATGTATCTGTTTTAATGTTGTCTGTTGACCTTTTTGTGTCTGTATATCTTTCAGTCTGTCCTATTTGTTGCCCCCTCCTTTCAGCCTTGTATTCAATGTAACTGGAATTCTTGAGCAGTATTTATTTAAAGAAATGATACTATATACTGTATTAAGTCAAACAATTTTTGAAGAAATATATTTATTCAATGTTAATTGAATTATCTTGATAATAAGTCAAGCATTTTGATATAAGATATTTCAATGATGTGGTGCTGAAAATTTCAATATTAAATGTTAGGGAATACTTGTGATCTGTAAACATCAGTTAAGTTCTTTTATATTCTTTTCTATTCTTAGGCAGAGAAATTGCAGCAAGATTTCAGCGACGTATCATTTAAACTTCGTTCTGTCGAGCATCAGTTGGCACAGGCTGATGATCTAAAACATACACTCATGGACAAAAAGGAGCAAATTTCTCAACTTCGAAATCAGCTTGAAGCAGAAAAATTACAAAGGTATATATTCAAAACAGAGTAAATTCCTCTTATCATCAAATTGTTGTATGTTACATCTTGGTTAAGATATTCATGTTTTCTTAGAATCCCATTTGTCTCTATATATATTGGTTGAGTTCTTATGTAATTTAACATTAATTCCTCTTAATATCATACTGTTTTGCCTATTTCCAAAGATACCACTGGTTCAAATAACATGTTCATACTTGAATCTATTAAAACAAATGAAGACTATTTTAATGGCCCTGCACTACTGCCAACATATCCAATAAAAGGTCAATAATATTACATGTGTAAAATAACTAATTCAATGAAGATTTCAGAAAAATATAATAGAAAACCAACAGTGATTTTAAAGTAATGACCATCATATAAAAACTGACTGATTTGTTAAATGTTTGAAACAGAAATAATTGTCAGAGCCTTTTGACACTCTACTGACTTTCTGATGCCTTACTGCACCAAAGCAAAAAATTGTTTGGAAAAAAAAAAGTGTAAAAAAGGTATCATTTTCATAAACAGTTTTCTAACCAAAAATACTTTTAAAATGTCCAGTCTCAAAATTTAAAGCGAGTAGACTTACCAATCTGACTACTTTCAGTCAAAGTCTTTTTACTGAATATATATCGCTTTCTTTCAGGACACTTCTAGATCAGACTGTTTCTGAACTAAAACACCAGGTGTCGCTCCTAAAACAGAGAGAATCAAAAGTATCTGAGCAAAATCGTGAACTCCAGCACACCATTCTTGATCTAGAGTCGAAGATGGAGGATATGGCTGATCGAAACCAGACATCATTGGAAATGGTAACTTTCCATAATAATGATTTTGTATTATTATGTATTATTATAATATTATTTAAAAATTTATAATTCTAAAAATTCTTCATTCTGCATTTTTAGCCTTTTACTTGTTAAATAATGTATTTTGTTAAAAAATATGATAATTCAATTTTTTTTCAGCCTAGTTATAAAGTTATTGCAATGTGTCATTTTTTTCATGCTTACCTTGATTATTTATTTTTGAGCTGAATTAATCATGTTTATAATTACACCTGTTTATGTCTTGTGCCATTCTATCATATTTCATTACAATCGCTGATTTACTGCAGTAATCAGTGATGTTCTTGGTTAAATAACAGGTTGAAGAAGATTATTTTGTTCTAGCATCTGTGTCTGTGTCTTATATGTATGCATAGTTTTCAAGGTTTGCTAGAAGTGTGAAACATTCATAAACATTTCGTAACAGACCAGAGTAACAAGCCATTTTTATTGTAGCCTTTATTCATTATAATATTCATGAACTATAATATGCAATAATTTGTGATAGCATTTCATCATCTTCAAGCATTAATTCACTTTTGAATTGTTGAAACCTATGCAATATCTTTCAAACAAATTCCTTTTTCTAACATGACCAATTTAATTGCATTTAAAGTTATCCGCCTATTCTTAAGTGAGAATATATTATATACATGAATTAATTGAAAATACTTCTTCATTAAACATCTGACCTAACCTGTTTTATTCAATATCCAATACTGTTTTAACTGTTGATTAAGGCTGAAGGTTGTATGCTACCTTTTACACATTACCCAAGAGTTTACTCCATTGAAACTATTCATCCACTGTACTATTCTGAGATTGCCAGAGTGATAACAATGAAGTTTGCCTTAATTACACGTCATCAATGGACACATTTGTCAGTTATAGCAATCTTGAGAACTAGGGAGCGCGCTTTTCGTTGCGGTCCCAGTCTATTTCCGGTCTTAATTAGCCACCTGTTTTGGGAGACACGTGTCATAGTAATATAAGGTAGCATATCTCCTTAAGAACTACTGGAGATATTGTTGAAAATCAAATCATTGCAGCCGTTCATGTAATTATGTATTGTTTCTTTTATGCTTCGGCCAGGATTCAAATGCTTATTTAGGCAACTCCTGGGATTCCAAGGTATTATAACCAGGGGTTTGATTTGCTAGCTTTTAGACACACATATATATATATTAGTTATATTTTGTCTCTGCTTTTGTTTTCTTTCATTTGCTTCTGTCTGTTATGTTATTCTGCTAGTGCTAGCTGTGTTCTGTCTCATATGATATGAAATACCTGCTGTCTCGCATGCTTTGAAACATTTGAATGTCAAATTAACCACCATCAAACTTAATACAATGGAAACTCTTAATCTGATGACTTTTATTTCATTTGATAGTACGTTCTTTTAGATATATTAAAAGAATCAAGTCACAAACAAACATATATTAATTTTCTTCGATTATCATAAATAAAACTGAAACGACATTTGAAAATTGAAAATAACTACTTCCCAAATATAAACACTAGGGCAATGTATAATTTTTTAATTATATAAACCCATATTGACGCGAGTCCATTATATTGAAACAAATATTACATTCGTAGTTTTGTTGCCATCAAATGTAGTAACAAATATTTTGCCCATAAGAACACTTGATCCGAAGTTAAGATTTTCTGACAATTATGGCAAGATTTTCTGATCTGAATTGAGATAATGAAATACGATTGATCATTTTATAGAAATCTACATCCATAAGAATCCATGAAGTGTCCTAGAAGGTGACCATAAAAACAAAAATCAACAGCCAATGTCCATGGAATTTATTGGTTTCATTTGGTAGAGAAGAATTACATAAAAACACTATTAATAATTATGTAAAATTGTCAAAAATAATTTCCATCTTAAGATTGCTATGCCATTTGTTTTAGCATTGTTCCAGTTGCAGAGAGTAGTTGTTTGAACATTTTGTGTTGTGGAAGTACCAACTTATCTGTATGCAGTGAACGTGCTTACATACGTTACATGTTCTTCATGTACATTGTGTTTTAATGCCACTAAGGTTGTGAATGAAGATACCGGTAAAAGGTTATTTAGTTTTGTTTAAAAAATTATGAAAATAAAGTGATCAAAGAAAATTCATGAACTAAGGACGCCACTACAAATATTATCACAAGAAAACACAAATTAATAGGCTAAAATGTTTGTAATTCATTAGGAGGATATAGACACATCCACATTGTTAACCTGTTTAGCATCTGTTATTTCATTTAGCATTTCTTTGTTTATTGACAAACGTTTATTCAGTAAAACTGCATGCTTATACCCCCTTAAGCTATTCTATTAGATGCATCTGTATCTACATTTTTTTATGTATTCTCGAAATATCTGCTTTCAGTTAAGACATCCTTTAGCAATTTTTCGATTGCAGATGTTTGCTGATTAAACATGCACCGCTTCATTCATAATTGTGATATATTTTTGTTGAACAACAACATTTTGATGCTTATCCAAAAATCACCAATTTCAATTCATTGACAATATGTTCTCTTTGTTGATTTACCTTTACCGTTTGTAATTTTAAAGTAAAGTGAGAAATTTTAGAGATCTTTTGCAAAAACCGGAATTGAATTGTTTGCTTATTAAATGTAATTACTGGGATCACAATAGAAAGAATTGTTTAGCTGTTATTATTGGGATCACGATAGAAAGAACAGTGTGGTTACATGAAAATAGCATGTTATACATTTCAATAATTACCCTTTCCAAAGCAGGAACAGGGACAACATGGTAACTGTTTTAATATCTCTCACCAGCAACAACATTTGACTGACGTTGGGAAGCGGTCGCTGATGGATCAGATTACACGGCTACAGAAAGAGGTGAAAGACCTTCAGTACGAGCTGCTGACTGTTAATGAGCGACGGGAAATTCAAGAGCGGAAGTATGAGGATCGCAAGATGAAAACGAAGCACAAACTAATGAGAGCAAGGTGAGGACGCAGATCACGTAGATAAATTTAGGATAAAGACTTCTGGGCTGAGTTGTATCAACATACAATAATGTCATGACAGAAAAATGAAAAATGAATTAAGACGTTTTGTTTTGAATCGTAAACAAACGCCATGCAAGTTCTTGGAATCTTTTGGAATGCTTTATCTATTACAATATTTTAAAGAAGCAGTCCAAGGTATATGTCTTAGGTTCATCATTCAAAAGGATTGTCACATGATAAAAAAAAAAAAAAAAAAAAAAAAAAAANCTTTTTACCTATATTTTGAGAAAAGATGCAATTTATCATTAAGATAATGAGGATTGATACAACTCGAGCAAAAGATTTAACCTTATTAGGAGTCGTTATATTTACAGTAACTAGATGTCTTGTTGATGTAGAAGGGGTTACCTACATATTCTGTTTATGCTTGTCCGTTTTGATCCCAAATGGTTGGTGATGCAGAGGCCACACTTTCATATTCTGGTCACACTTCAACATCTGGATATCTAACCTGGCCACAACTTGATAACAGGATACTCTTAGTTTGTTGTTCACTGTAATGTTCCCATCAAGGCGACCATATACTGTCATTCCTCCCGGTTGCAGATTAATCTATGGAGAATTTAATTTTCCTATCATGTGATTTGCACCCATCAATCCTTGTATTTTGAGTATCTTAATCACATCAATTTAAGACTAAACTACTTTCGTCCTTGGATTCATTATGCTTCCAACAACATCATACAAATCAGACATTTTGGTGTTGGCAAAGTTTAGACATTAAAACATAGAATGTGACAGCATCACAGCCGCCAAGCGTGATGGTCGTCTAGTTAACAAAACATTTGCAAATGGTCATCTGGATCAACTATATGAATTTTGTTATACAATCGAATACTGTTGTGATGTTTGAAAAAATGGAGCTCTATGGAGTTATTATTGAGAAGCGTAATTTAACATAATGAATTAATCGAAAATGTTATTCATGTCTTACTTAATCAACAGAGTGGACATGCGGAAGTTGCCTTCATTTAGTAATCTTCTTACAATTACATGTACAAAATATGGTTGTATATTCAAAAACAAAATACATATATTTATAAGAGGAATATTATAACTTAAGATTTGTATAAGATGGCATCCACTCTTTAGTGTGTGCAGGTTTTAATTTCCGCTTTTTTCATGGAGCAAGGAATACATAGACTAAACACATATAAATTTTAATTTCAGCATTTTGAAAAATGGGTTGCTTTAAAATAAATGAAAAACAATGTCTCATGAAATCAAAGCTGCATACATTATAAACCATCTGTTATACTGCCACTATTTGTCTATCGCGAATTTGGTGTTATAAAGTGGTTTGGCTATAAAGATCAAGGTAGATATGTTTAGGTATTTACTGGGAAAGGGGACTTTGAAATAGGTTTGTGGTAAGTCATGTGGCAAGTAAAACAAAGAGCACTATGTCAAGGTTTTACTGACATACAGCGTATGATGTAGCTAAGTGTGTCATAATACAAAATGATGATGACGACAACATAGATGTATACAGTGGATTTCCTCTAATGTACTATTGTGATGTAAATGTATTGTTTATTGTCCGACTTTTTACTCGTTCAACCTATTACTACGTATGTATTCTGCCTCTTTCAGCTCGGTCTCCCCGGGTGATCTCATTCGTGTTTGTATGAAGTAGGTGTAAAAGCTTACTATCACCCCTAGTTGTTTGAACTGTTTGTTTATTAGTATTGCTAGCTACTTATTGGTGTGTTTAGATTCATATTCATTATTTTTTCATTGTGTTTATGGAAATATTAAAAATGAATCACTGCATCACACAATTCCTTGTATTCATTTGATGTCTGAAATAAAAGTTGTCCTTTATATCTTGTAATTTTTTTTTACTTGTATTATTTGGTGAAATGAATAACTTTCTTCTGGATTCACTTTCTGTGTTAACATCACAAGACACTCCTTTTTCTCACAATTTTCCCCCGTATCAATTAAAATCTAATAATCACACCCAAATCTAATAGAAAACAAAATCACATTATTTTATGTCTTTGATAGTTTCATACAGTCTAATATCTTTTTCAGTGCATCTAAGCAACACATTTCATATCTAGTTTTAAATCTAAGGTGTCAAAATCATCACAATATCGCTTGAATTCTGAATAATCTTTTCTTGCAGAACATCATTTAATTCCCAGACTGTAAAAGTAAACATATTAAAAAGAACGTTAGGATATTATATCAAAATGTGATTTTGCCCACATGCGTGACATTTGGAATCTAGCTTCAAGTTACCCCTGCTTTTAAATGTGTTATCACCAATGCTTTCCATGTCCCTAATGTAATAGCACAGAGAGAAACATTTGCTTCGCTCCAGTTGTCAGTAGAACTGGGTAGCATGATAGCAGCGAATGTTCACTACCCATTGTGCTGGAATAACACTTTTCCCTAAATAAAGACAATATAAGATTTACAATAAGATATGGTTTCACTACTAAACTGTGAAACCAAAAGATGTTTATATCTCTGATATTGATAGGAAAACTTTGTAATTAGAAAATAAGAACACTTTCATTTGTTCACTATCTAATCTATCTTGGAATTGAAATAAGAAGACATAATCTTGAATTTGTTCATAATCTTCCTCGGAGTTAATAAGAATTTATAAACTGAATTTGTTCATAATCTATATCAAGTTAAATAATAAACATGTTGTGTGACACAATTAGATTTATTTTGCCTGTTCACTTGATCTTTAAACAGAAAGTGTTGTTTTTCTTTTCTTGCTCACGGTGGAAATTTCTTAGTCGGTAAATTTTGTGTCCGTTGTAGTCAATACAAATTATTATGAGACCTAGAGATCAATCTGTATGCAAAGTTGTCTTTCCTAGTTATATATTGATATTTTCCTCGAAAAACAATCGGATGAATATAATTCTTTAGAAGAGATATTTCACATTGTGGTTCATGTGTGTGAAATAAAATATATAAGATGATATTCAAATCCGACACGAAAAACAAACTTTTGTCGGAGTAGTGAACTGTTATACACGTGGCTGGAAATTAGTGTTAAGGACGGTATATTTTAAATGAAATATCAAAGGAGGCCATATAAAACCATATTCACAAACAAACAAATTGTTTTGCTATGCTTTTCAAATAAAAAGTAAAAATGAAAAAACAATCTTTTAAAAAAAATAACTATATGTATAGCGGTAAGCTTATTGCTTTATCAATAGCAAAGATATATTGATTTAAAATTTGCAGTTAACAGTCTGAATGCAAAAATGTGCTTGCAGGGAGTTTTATGCTAAGGAAAGAAACAGAATGACGGAACAGATGACTAGAATGGATGAAGATTTATCCCTTACAAGATCAACATTACGAAAGGAGCTCGACTGGAAGGAAAAGATAGATAAAAATTATCAACACTTACTCCACGAAAAGCGCGACCTTTTGTCAAGGTAAGTGAACATTCATCGTGTGTTTATAAGTATTTTCAAGAAATATCTGTTGGTGATTTCGACCACATTACAAAATAAAGTGGTTTCTGTAAACAAAACACGTTATAATCGGATATTTTACGTATAAGTGACATCATTCAATTTGTGAGATATGTATTAAAACAATAGTCTTATCAATAGCAATATATATTTATCCAATAATAAACAGATTCTATAACTACAATTGAACTGGTTTTCAAAATCACATATTTTATTTGTAAGATGTCTTCATTTGATTTTTTCGGTATACAGTGAATATGTGCCCAAACTGAACTTAACAAAGAACAATGTGTTTTGATATCAATTTGATATTGATTATTGCAGATAATACAGAGTTTGTTAAGACCATCTTTGAAATTTCAGGGCTTACACTCACTTGCTTTCTCTGCTACCCAGAAATAAGTCATGAAACTAGTCTTGTATCAACCACATGGTGGCAAGTAGACCATCGACTTTGTCACGACATATCCTATGGGCGTAGGGAATGTAGGCGAGTGTAACCAGTGGAATGTTGAGGTTGGGTGTAGACAGGGTATGATGCATTTAGATACTTTGTCTGATCTACCTGTTGTATAACGTTTATTGTTCATGCCTTTAACGTACACGTATTTTAAGGTCTGTTTCAGGTTGCGCTCTTTTAAGGTTTCCACACATATCCACTTTTTAGCGTTTCTTCACAAGCCGAATTTCTCACTATCACAGTGACACGCTGATGATTTTTTGTGCAGATAACTTTGTGAATATTTTAATTTTAACCTCATGCAAACATAAAACGTCGGGTTTCAATTCAATACAGATTTTTTAATATCGTTGTATTATTTCATTGTTGACATTTTTGATCGCTGATATAGTCATAAAAAATCTATGAATTAATATAACAAAGTGTTTATTTTAAATCCTTATCTGAATTGCATGTCTGTTTAGATAGACGATGCGCCATTTATTGGTAGAGCTATTGAAAATTCATTAAGCATTTTGTGCAAGGGAAAATCTCTGACATTTATATTTTGTTTATAGTATAAGCATAATATATCAAAGAAGTATATAGTATTTTTGACAAAAAGTTAATAATGCTATTGACAACGTGTGATTATAACCAGTTTGAATTTGTTTACTATAGTGCTACTTACTTGTATACAAAACTAACAAATCTGGTAACTTATAGAACTATGGTTTGATCATTAAGTAAGACATGCATTGATTTAATTTAATTATTGAACAGTCACCTGTTAATCTTTGATTCATAGAAATGATTTTGTATGCTAGCTTTTCAGTTATTTACTCCTTGCATCACATCGATTGTTTCCCACTGTTATATAGTTTAGAAATGTACAGTGTATATATGAACTATACAAATTTCTTTGCAAAACACCAAAAACCTTATCATAGAGTACCTTTTTTTCATCCAACATATTTGGGGTATTTTTAGACCTACATTGTATAAATTCTTTTATGCATGAATCTCAAAATCTCAAAAACTCTCATATACCTTTTAAACATCTGTAACTATCAAAGCACCTATTCATACCATCAAAATAGAAAACCGTACCACTGTATTAGCATGAAAACCCCAATACCAAATCATCCATATCTCACATACTGGCTATTTCTACCACCACCTTATCCTGCTTTCAAAACGCCCATTCAGAGCCTTGTCTACTTTAATTGATATACTTCCGAAAAATATATATTTGCCAACCAAATCCATAAAAAAAAGCTTCCAAAGTTTTTCATCTACCATTGCTAGAATCGAAACATAAATATGATTAAACCGAGTTAGTATCATTTCCCTCCCTAGCATTTGTGCAATTCCCACCGCTAACATGTACACATTGGAGTCTAGTTAAGTCTGATTATGCTCGTTCGATTTATAGTTGAGCAATATGTGCTTGCTCTTGTATATTAGTGTCTGTTATGTTACTCTTTCTATTTGTCATATTTCAGATTGAATATCTGTTAAAAAATATTGAAAATACTTTCCATAATGTGCAGGAATACGCTATTTTTTTCAATATATTGCAACGTTTGTGAACCCGTTAAATTATAATGGTCAAAATACAATTTGCTATTTTATTCAAATTTATTATATTGTATACACTCTCTCAATCAAATTTACACAAAAATGAAATTATACTTGTGTACTCAGAATTGTTTTGAATCCTGTATTAAAATCCTTGTCAAATTTGTCAAATGTACCACCTGCGTTGATTTCGATCTATTCTCGGATTAAAAAAGCTGTTATGTGATCTGCCTTTACCACAACACAGATTTATGACGTTTACTGTATAGTTGCACATTTTCGAATGAATTCCGAGAATGTCATGAATGTTTGACAGTTGGAAATGAGGAACTTCGCGAAAGTATCACGCTTTTGGAAGTAGATAAGAAACGAAAATACATTCACCAGGTACCCCATTTTTTTTATATCTACTCTGAAATGCAATGCTGAATATTTAATTCTTTTAATTTTTTGTGTGGAATTAAAAGAGTGATATAAAAATACAAAAAAAAAATAACAAAAAAATAAATAAATCATACAGTTTTTCTCTATCTGACATTCATAGAATTAAAACTTAACATGCAAGTTCTGGATGCAAATTTGCGATATTTCTAGTGCGAAAATCAGCTACTAGACAGACAGCATGAAGCATGGAAATATATTGGCAAACATCGCTTGCTAAACATATGTACACAGTATTCGTCATTTTTTAATACACTTTTAATATTTCTGGTCTGGTAATTTATTAAAGATGTTGCTAATATAGGATACCTTTTCCTAATCTTAGGGAACAAGTGCTGGTAATTGTTAACGGATATTACAGGCGTTTACTGGGTTCTGGCTGCTCACCTGTAGTATACTTTGTGATTGTTTAACTTTGGGAGTATGTATTTTGTGAACATAATCTTATTTAACAGAGAGGGAAACTAACGGAGAAAGTATTATCATGTGGTAGACATTGAAACAAGGGTTTGGCTTATATATATGACTTAACGTACCTGTAAATTATTGACCAAGTAATCACTCTTTATCTGAATTAATTCGTTTCGCAGTTTTTAAAATTTTTGAACGAAAAATTCCGACGGTTTTCAAAGTTCTTGTGCCGATTGATTCAAACTGCTCATTTGTCAATGGAAAAGCTGCAGAAATTAGAAGTTGAACATTGAAATAATTCTCTTTTTTACGATTAAACAATTCCACGATATTGTCTCGCATTCATCGTTATTGTTGATAAATGAAAGAATGTTATACCCAAACATGAGAAAAAACTTTTCGGATACTTTTTTCCTGGAACTACAAATGTAAAAACAATAAAGAACTCTTAAAATCTGTTGAATATTTCGATCACAGGCTTAAACATTAAGATGGAATGTTATTTGTCATAGTAAGCATAACATGAGTGTTACTTTTGTTTTTGGTCTGAATAACCATATATACTTACTTTGTCAAACATACTGGTAGTTATTGCTCATGGTATTTGCTGTTATGCATGTTAGATAAAATCTTACTACCACAATTTCTCTAATGTCATCAATTAAACGTAAAACTTGAAATACGATGTTATTGTAAACAAACAAAATGTTGATAATGATGATCTACAGACGTTAACATACCAATCCGTAAACCATCACTTCGAGCACATTCCTGAGTGGTCAGGCCAAAAGCCACAATGTTGATGTAGATAATAATAAAGGAAAACTGTAGTAGTAAGGTTGGTCGATTCGAACCGTTGTTTATTTCATTTATCTTACCCGACAAAGATGAACAGGATAAACAACGGTTACTCGTTTTGGAACATCTATTTGAGACTAGTATTAATGGTGTATATAATTATAGTCTGTTTGGCTTGCTTTTGACACAACCAATTCAAGGTTAAGGCATTGTGAAAGCACTACTCTCAACTGCTATCGTCCCACAACAGTTTGTTGTCATATTTCAGATCGGAGATGATATCTTTCTTTGTTAATGCTTAGTTTTAAAATCAGAATGACATGACTTGCTACTAAATTGATATACTGTATTGTTTGTTAAAATCAACCTAAATATCAATTCTATTTCATATTTTTTTATAATCATTAAATCTAGTTCCAGTGATAATTTAATCTAGTTTGATATATCAAAATGTATTTGAAATATGGCAACAATATGACTTACTTTAATGCAATACCCGTCACTTAAAATCACACCTGCTTTGGTCCACAGCTGTCACCCTGACCCCTAGTACTAATCGGTGCCTTATCTTGATCACCTTTTTGCAGCGGCTCCCCTTTCTTACAGGCTGGCAGATCAGGACGAGACTTTGAGAGAGAAAGGCCGTTCAGTATCCACACTACAAGTCCGCTCCAAATATCTGGAGGACGAGAATTCACGGCTACTGGATCGTATCGAGCTTATCAACCAACAAAAGCTTGGAATCGATAAAGTACTCAAAGACTTTAAACTTGGAAAAGACAGAGAGGTACTTAACAAGATTTTTTTAGTAGAGAGGAATAATGCAAGTTTGAAAATTGCAGAATTTATTATAAATCTATTGATGAAAACTGTAAAATTAATCCAAAAGTATTAAAAAATATAATTGATTCTATTTACTTTACTTACGTTCCTGATACTTATTACCCCTGTTTCTATTGAAATTTAATGAAATCATAAAATTCATTAATGAAAGCTTAACAGTTTGCTTGCTTCGAATTGGAAATGGAATGTTGCCAACAGTATTTAATAAAAACAAAACTATGATATTCATTATATATTTATTTCACTACAAAATGAAGATTTTGTAAACATTTAGTTACACTTAAAAAACTCACTCATTTAAACGGGATCATCACAAAACAACATTGCAATAACTAAATTTCATTTTGACGTAATGTTTTTTTAGTACTTTGATTTCAATCGTTTAGCCAGAGCAAATAATGAAGTTACAAATTGTAATTCGAACTTCAAATCGATAAAATAGGACAAAATATGAAAGTACAAGGTTCACAAGCCCAATTTCTGACAGGGTACGATACATCGTCAATTGGACGATTTATAATAAATAAAATCTAGCAATGTTTCATACGTGTGATTTTCATTTTATGTGTATCAAAAGTCGAGTTAAGTAAACCTCCGTCAGATTACATTTCACTGATTTAGTAAAATCTTGTTTATTTTCAAGTCACCATATCTCAATTGCATGGTTTATTGAAAAAAGATATGAAAACTTTTATGATGTATACATCGGAATAGAGCTGTCCATGATATATCCAAAGCATCTTAAATATAAGTAAACAATGAATTTAAAGAATATATCATAAACACCGTTGCTATACCGTAGTTTATTAGTATATACACAAATGTCCAACAAAAATTACTATTGATAAATTTATATGATCTATTTGTTGGTCAGTTAACACGGTCCCTGGTCTTATCTCCGGCGGATAGCCATCACCCTCACAGCTTGACCGGTGGCACCAGTGGCCTTGGCAATAGTGTGGACTCGAGCTGGGCCAACGATTACCGTGACAACATAACACCCTTCCGGACGCAAACCTCCAATGTTGACACTTACCTCAACCGGAATTATTCTGGTGGAACCGTGGATCTATACAGAGCCGAGACCGGAAGTGAGGATTCGTACAGTCACGAGTTTGATGCATAGTATAGAATGTTTGATTTTCAATTAGTATTATATTCCGGATGTTGAAAATGGGTAAATGGACATCTATTCATGTGTGTGTGCAAAACGTTCACCTCGTGCTTTTAAACGTTTACTTCGCGCGATTAGTTGTTTGTGCAATTGTGTTCCCAATGGATATTATCCACCAGTATTCGATTTATCCAGATTGAGAATGAAATGAGTGTGATAAGTATGATTAGTCGAACCATTTTTTGTACACACCAATTAACGAAAATGTACTTATTATGTAATATTTTACTAATAATGTAGTATAATCATGAATGTTTGGATGATTATCATCATATCTTCGTTCATAATACTTGTATAAGTGTTAACTAATGAAATATATGTTGTTTTCCTTGAAGAGTAAGTGATGCAATCGAGCTTTGTAAGCCACTTATTTTGTTTTTGGTTTCCCTATATTCAGAGTGTAAGGGACATAATGGCCTTTCGGTAAACAATATCAAGACACTTTGCTGGGAACAAACGTGACTGATTTATATAGGCATGAAGGCCACGATTAATTCATGTTTATACATCATATCAGTAATCTTGTTTTAACCTGAATTCAATAGTATTGCTACATGTTTGTTCCTTTTTAAAATACTCATATCATTCTTTATTTTTTTGTGATTTCAATTTTTCATTGTTCGCACAATTGATTCCATCCATTTAGTAATTAATATTTTTTTATTAATAACGCTTTTATTGATTAAATCGATAATGAGATTATATAAGACATAAAACAACATTCCAATTAATGTTCCAGTCGACAATTTATCATGTATTGGTATGAATCAGGCTTTTTAAAGTTAGTTTATTTATATTGTAATCGATATACTTAATTGACGTCCAACTTAATGTTATTTAGCTCTTTACCCCATGTAAGACAATGTATCTGACGACTCTTTGTTGATAGGGGGAAATACGTTGTGGTGCTAACGTAATGTAACTTAACATTTCCATGGCTTTTCACTCTAAACTAAGATTTAGAGATTCAATATATCCAGCATTTTTGATGAAATAATTTATTTTGATAATTCATAGCATTTTCATTTTCTATCTTTGAAAAACTCATGTTTGGTTCAAATAGCAAAAAAGGACATTGATACATAATGTAAAAATGCTCTTACATGGGGCAAACGAGCAATCTGTATTCACAACAGCATCTGCTAGTCAGTTAGATAAGATGATTCCATCCATTTATACTAATTACAAATTATACATGTATAAAATAATATAAAATATTTATGAATATGAAACAAGTTATTTTAACTTATATTAATCTATGTATTGTCTATTTATAACATTGTGTTTTATATTGAAAACTAATTTAAATTGTTGTAGAAAGATAATCATATTTCCCCTTAGAACTTGTTTTCCATGTAAAATAATACAATTCTACATTATCTATTTAACGTGCAGTAAAATCTGTTTTATCCAACACTATGGAACACCACGTGTGTCAGATTATTTGGGACCAGACATATTTCATTTCGTAGAAATTGGATAATATTGATTTTGTTAGATTACATAAGGTGTAAGAATATTAATATTTCGGGGTCAGATAAGGCAGGTTTTAGTATACATTATTTATGGAAGTATACTTTTCTAAACAATATGACATAAGGCATTAAGACGATTTCTAGCTACATTTTATACAGCTAACCCCAGGTACCTTATACATATAACGTTGCAATTGTTCTTCAATTCACGCTTAGTTTACTATTTTAGGAGTTTCACGTCATAGAAAAAACGAAATGTATTCAGGAGTACTCAGCATTTTCTTAAAATGTATAAATAGATATATTGTGTAGGATTGATCAATAAATATAACAATCATTTTGCAGGAGCGTCATATATATTCAACAGTTTGAATATGGAATCGTTAGGACGGCAGCACAAAAGACAAATAAGAAGTCAATTTGGCTTAATACGCAACACAACAAGGAAATAGAGAGTCGTGTCTTTTTAAAAAGTATAATTATCAGTTTCAGAGTTCAAAATAAAATGGTCTTTATTTAAGGACACTTTATAATGTTTTTTGGTTAATTACAGTATATGTGAAATAATCTTACCACAAACTAGAAATACTTCAAACGTTGTTGTTGTTCTATTGTATTAAACAGCATTGTTCACAAGTATGGTGGAATATTACACTTATTTTTTTTATATTCGTCAGTGCCAAAGTATTTTTAAAATGAATAAATTCAGTAAGGGGTTAACGAGAATTCAAATATATTAGTGATCATTTTAATTTTGATTATCTTCGCTCAGAAACTGGTAATAAAATTGGAATAAAATGAGGATGAACGCACTGTGTAGTAAAAGTGAAAAGTCATTGTGACACAAATAAAAAGGTACACGAACATTCACTCAAGTAATTCTGACTAATGATATAATGCTTAATTAAATATTCAAGAGTATAACTGGAGCATACAACTGGTATAATTTGTAAAATAGCTCATGTTTTAAATCATTTAACATTTTTAACATTCGGTTTTACACACTTTAAACTAAAAGAAAGTACTTCCAATATCAATCTACCATATTTCGCACGTTTACCACCTTCCATTCTTTATCATATGCAATATCTTTAGGAATGGTATACGTACTGGCTAACAAAGCTATTTCGATTTTAAGTTGTTAACTTAGCGTGGCTACTAAAACAGTAAAACACATTACAAACGATGCCAACCAGTTTTGTGCTAAATATTATTGGCGTGATAGCATATCACAGAGCCTCAGTTTGATACAGAACATATACATATTTAGTATCATTATTATAGTTATTACGACATTTGTAACCGGTTAATTTACAAAATTTACAAAATTAACTCCTTACATTCGTTGTAGTACATTTTTTATAGACGTACAGTACTTATCGTGTGATAGAAATTCCTGGATATGTTTTATTGTTTCATTACAAAATAGATTAATGAAACTTGAACTACATTTTGAGGCTTTTGCAGGTTTCCTGCATTCCTCATAAGTGAACATTATATATTGCATATTTTAAAATCATTTTCGAATATCTTGCAGGGGTTTAAAAAGCATGTTAGTACCTAATTAATAAAACAATCAAATCTGGTAGCAGAGTTAAGGTTACGAATGGGAGATTAAAGTCGAATGCATATCTAATTGGAAAAAGAAGAAAATGTGTTTTACTGTTTAGTTGTGTTCTGAATGAGACAGTGTTCACTTTGGTAGGTTTATAAACTGGAAGTACATTAAATTATATATAAAACAGTATTCTAGTATTAATGTGATTTACGTTTAATTATGATCTAGCTATAGTTTAGTACTAATTAATGACAAACTGTAGTTTAGTTCTAGTTCATCTCTGTACTATAGCGCTATCTTACTTACATTTATTGTAGACATTTTTAGTTTCAGAAAGCTAGGTAATAAATTAGTACATGGGTGGGAGACGTCTACTAGGAAATGAAACTTATAAAGCATATCAGTGAAATCATTGCCTTGTCTGTCGTCGTACACTATTTATCCCACTGAAATGAAAAGGTCCCTGATATGTACATCCGCTCTTACTAAAACTTGTAATTGGATAGCATAGGATATTTAAAAAGAAATGGAATGTTATCTATTGTTTCTGATCTACGACCACAAACAAAACACAAACATTCGGGCATGGTGCCTGCCAATATATTCACTACTAGTTTTCCGTGTGATAAATGACGCTATTCAATCTTGGCATGCGTTCTACTGAAAGAAAGAAAACATCAATTCAAACATTTGTATAGCATTCATTTAGGTCACTTAATTCAATAGTGACATATACGGTAACTTATTTGAAAATACATCTGCACATCCTTATGTCATTTCGTGCTACATGATTGTTCTGAAGCGGTAACTTCCGCTAAATTGAAGGATTTTCAAATCTGTCAAGTCACACTGCTACAAAAATGTGCCTTTGTGAAGTAATATTAAATAAATACTTATTTTCGCAGTAGATTCACTTTTTATTAATTCAAATTATATTTGGATATTTTTGTTAAACTTTGGATTGTATGATCAATTACTTGAGAATAAATTCAAAACACTATTGGTATTTTTGAAAATGTCTGATATATGGTAAAGTTCAAAGAGCTTGTATGTAGTTTAATTTCTGTGTATGTATGCGCTGGCGTCATTGGTAATTGACATCATTGTTAAACATATCAAATCTATGCAACGCTTTCAATCTGCCATATAAAGTTATACGATATTCATTGGAGATTACTGCAATAGCTGTAACTAGGTATTGTTCAAACAAGGAATCCTATTTTTAGTGTTTTAATTAGCTCTTTCTGTTTTACATTTTATGTGTGACAGTGACAAGATTGGTTGGCATATATCAAAGTAGTGTTAACATTGGTGTTCTAATCGCGGTCTTTTATCAGTTATTCTATGAATATACACTTCATTTTATTACTCACGTCAAGTCATGCCCAGAATCCATAAATATGATAAAACATTATTGAACAATTGTATGCCTGTGACGTCAACAAGATGATGCTTGAAGACAATGACGAGGATTTTAAATTTCGTAGTTGCACAGAAGAAAATTACAGTGTCGAAAGGTTTCTCAGTGGAGTCCTACAAAAATAAGTGAAATGAGCGTTTCTGTTCAGTTTATTTCTTACTAGTTATTTTCCTGTAATGATGTCTCAATATGTGAAAGATACCATGCACAATATTTGCGCTGGGCCTTTCTTTTTAATACAAACTGTGATATTTGTTAAACAAACCTTATTGTTTAATTTGGTGATTGTTAACATTGCTTTTTCCATCCATTATTTCATTATCTGTCTCCGTATTTAATATTCAGTATATTACGTCCGTATATTTATATATATGATAGAATCGTGTCCAGTGCATTGATTAAACTGGAATGCATTCCTTTTGATTATTTACACATTTGTTTTTCTATATTTTAAATTTTAGTCATTTGTCGAGCTGTCTCCATACATTCCACACTGTCTGGATGATCTAAACATAACAATAGATACAATTTCTGGCAGTAAGCAGTTAAATGTTTTAAATCAACTGTATATCGGAATAAAGTTATATATATATATTTCAAATATTGAAAACCAAAGCTTGTTTAAAATAATGTTTGTGGTCTAGTGTTTTTTTTAAATTGGTTATTTTCAAATCATTTATTTAATATATGTGTTTTCGATATTCATCAATGCACATGTAGTTACATGTTTTATACAAATTTGATTTAATACAAGATAGAAAGCTTTATAACGAGGTTATTAATATGTACTATTGGTTAACATTTTAGAGTATTCAATTTCATAATGTTTTGTTATTTTGTCATTTGTGAGAGTGGCGAATAACTGATGTATATGTGACAAAGAATGTTTTTATTCAGGTTTATATCTTGATATAATTCATATCTATATTTTTAGTGCATTCCATCTATCAGTCATAGCGATGTTTATATTCATTGATGCATTGTATCATAACATATTTATACAAAACACACGTGAACATGTTAGTAAATGCGAGGATGTTTCAACAAAAATCGAAGTTATTAAAACAATGTGAAATGGAATACAAGTTGTTGAAGTGTCTTCCTAAAGAGCGATTGTATGCGCCTGTGTGTCATTCCACCTTTGTTCACCATTTGAAATATAATATACTTGTGTACAGGACGTGCACCTTGGAAAGTGCTACATTTCCTACAGTAAACAGAGCCATGGCCCTTAGTTCATTTTTGATACGAATGCTTGTTTGGCGCAAAACATGCCGGATAATGAAAAATTCCACAGGAGTATTGCTATGCTTGTGTTGTAGATGTGCATATTGCAATTTTTTTCGATTAGACATTAATTAACATGGTCGCCTTGGCTTCTGATTGGCAGAGACAGTTGTTCTGTATTGTATTTTGAAATGAACGTCGTTAACGAGACGTTTAAGTGATATTCTCCAAGTGAGAAACAGCCGTTTTTAGACAAACTGGTAGCTGTAGCCTAGCTTATGATTGGTCGAATATTTAATTAGATGTTTTCCGACCTCGAACAAATTTGGTTTGTTGGTGTACATGTATGATAGCAAGACAATCTTTCTGCCACTTTCATTTACTTCTTAAATAAAATGGTCGCCATCAACTGGCTTCTGATTGGTTGAAATTAAGATAATGTCTCTTTTTCGATCAAAGTGCAACGAGACAACGGCTCGAAATTTCAATCTAGAGATTACATTGTACAAAAAGCCCTTTAACCGTCTCAGCTACGGCATTAGGTGACCAGACTATAAAGGTTTCATATTTTTATTCAAGATGGAATGCAATAACCTGAAACGTTTTTTGTTTTAATTTTTCAGTAACGATGTATGCCTGCACCATATTTTGATTGCAATAGGATTGAACTTTTATTGGATGACAAATGTTTAACATCAAAAGCCCAAAAGTTGGTATATAAATGCGCTGTGTGTCAAAAACACATTTAAAGTCTGTTTAAAGCGAACTCGCATGTTTTATTGCACATTGTTCGAAGTTGCAACTTTGACGGCCTGTATAAATTGATGTACGGTGCATATCCAAAATTTATCTTCTAAAATTGACATGAGGATATACTAGATCCAAGGTAAATATCTAAAATTGACATAAGGATGTACTAGATCTAAGGTAATTATCTAAAATTGACACGAGGATATACTAGATCTAAGGTAATTATCTAAAATTGACACGAGGATATACTAGATCCAAGGTAATTATCTAAATTTGACATGAGGATATACTAGATCCAAGGTAAATATCTAAATTTGCCGAAAGAAAAAATAATATTTTCATTGAACTAATGATCATATTTAGGTCAAAACGGTTTGTTCTCCTTTCTCCCACTTTTTTCTGATCAAAGGAATTATATAAACACTGGAAAACAATAGAGGTGTCATTATAGTCTGTTCTGGTATAGTACAGGTAGATTATTTACCTGTATCTACCTGTTCACCAATAGGAAATACTGTGTTAGTTATAGGAATATTTAACAAATATATTTCCTGATTTTCGTAATATTTACTGGAATTATAAATAAATAGATACAATATTCCAGTTATTACTTAGTAAAAACACATCAAAATACATTAACTGAAAACCTGCTTTTATTAATTTCATATTAAATCAATTTTATACATTTTTACTATACATTTACATGTATGTTATATATATATTTCATAAAATAGAACTCAATTTAGCAAGCAATTTATGACAAATATAATCAGTAAAGACAGTGATCATGTATATGCAAAAACAGATGCAAAGCTGGGAATGAAAATAAATAAAACAAATTAATTACATCTACACATGGAATACTTAGCACTACACGTAGTTGACCAAAACAACCATATTCATAAAATGCACAAAGATACATGATATAAAACTAATATAATAGCACTAACTTACTAAAGGTGAAATATTGGAAAGTCCATAAAAAGCACAGATAATGAAAATTCCATAATTTCAAGAAATCCTAACAAATCTCCAAATAAAAATTCTATAGCAAGCACATTTATCACAATGTCACTCTAAATGCAAAAGATGAGATGCTGTGTCGGTGTACTGGATTACATCTATTGTACCATTCTCCAAGCGTTCCTTTCGTTGGATAAGGCGGCTGTCGATGTTACGGTAGCGTTTTGCTCTTGGTCTGAGTTGTCCTCATGCTGCGTGTTGGATGCGCGTTATCTCGTTGCTGGCTTGTATTTCCTGGAAGATGCGGATGATGTTGTAGATGTTGGGGTGGGGGTGTTCCACTTTCTTCTTCAGTTTTCTGTGCCATCCCTCTATGTGGTTGGTTGTTCTGGGTCCCTCGGTCTCAAAGTGGTTCCAGAGTTGTTGATCTCGGTCAATCTACTGTGTCACGACGTAATCTGTTAATGGAGTGGTGTCCTGTGGTACATCTGGGTCCACTTTCCCTCTAAGTTGATGTCCTGAATGGTCCTGGGTAGCTGAGGAGTCTGAGTACGTCGAGCGTTATACAGAGACTTCTAAGTGGACTGGAAGGTGACTATTCTCTGCGTCGTCGTTCCAATCATCGGATCGAAGCTTGGTTACCTCCTCAGTGTATTTTCTCGGAATTGGTTTCACTTCCTTTACGCAGCTTGTACGAATGGTCTCCATTATCTCCTTGGCGACGATCTTAGCATGGTCCTGTGGGTGGTTTTGGGGATGGCGGCCGTTTCCAGTACGGATGTTGTTTCGGGTACTAAGGGTAGCTGGACAGTCGGGGATGGTACATGCTCACCAGTAAAGTGGTCAGTTGAAGGGCCCAAGCCATCAGGTGTTAAGATTCATTATTATCAACTAGAAATATCAGTGGACCCAAGCCAGATGGGGTTATCAAATAGAAACATAACTAATGATTATGTTTTAGGGGAAAATAATCTAATGAGTGATACTAAGTTATAAATAGTTACACTGAAGACGCAGTTATTGGTAAAAAAAGATTTTCTGAAAATAATGCTCCAATATGAATTTGTTTTCACCCTAAATAAACTCAATTTAAATTTAAATTTAAATTAATCAAAGCATTATCATCTATATATATATACTATTAAGTATATAAAATATATAAAATATTTGTGGATTTCACGTAACTGTTTTGTATAAATGAAAATTAAATGGTATATGATATGAAAAAAATGGCTAAAAATGATGAAAATAGACTATATCAAAGATACATGTAAATGACAGTACTGTATCTATGATAGAGGTGATGTGGGAAAACACAGGTAAAAACCAGGTAAAATATATATGAAACAGACTATAACTGCTATCACAACATTACTGCATCTGTTGTTTTTTTTTAAAGTGGGAGAAAGGAGAACACACCGTCAAAACATGGACAAGTACGCCATACCTCTTGTATGCATGTGTGTTTATGGTATTGCAAACTCTGACGTGACCACCGTAAAGATATTGAACAAAAAGGTGACTGGATTTAGCTCAAATTTAATTTGTAGGTGTAATAGATTGCACTGCAAGCTCACCACAAATTCCATTGGAAAGTTTAACAAGATAACCGCCGTAAACCGAATTATGATCGGTCGAAATTCAGATATGGTTTGATTTCAATCAAGTTTGGTACATCAATGTTTATCAGACTGCAAATTCAGTCACGACTTTATATAGTTGTTAGGTTTGCATTAGTTGTTAATATCGCCAACAATACTCATACATGCATTTCAAAATCGAAGATGATAGTTGTGATTTTTACTTGGTGATTGTTCAGGGGGGGGTGTTTTATGTCAACTTCGCCATCGGTGGGACCCATGTTCCAATTATGTATATACATATACAGAAGACGGTCTGAACATTGTTTACCAAACGTGGTCCCTGAAACTTTTATTTTGACTGTTGACCTAGATCAACAGCAACTATTTTCACCTTGCATTAACTCATTCACCTCTGAGGACACACTGTAAATCTTCCGATTCAAAGGTTAGAATAGTTCATTACTAAAGTTCATGGGTGATTGAGTTAAAAGAGGTCGGAGGGATACAAATCAAATGTAGGATATCGCGACCTATATTTTGCCCTCTTACCTTTGGTCAGGCGATCTTCGATGTAGGATCAGCCATACTAGCAATAACCTGCAGTGACCAGGTAAATCCTAGTCGAATTAAAACAAAGTATATAACAACTTTAAAGCACTGATAAATAG